CGATCTTGTAGCAAAACAAACAATGTGGCATATCGGTCACATGTACTCAATGACCTACAGGTCATCAGAGAGTTAAAACACGTGTGTAATCCCAGACAGTAATATGCGAAATGGATCAGTGAACAGAATAATTACAGTGATCCAATTGTATTACTGACATAATAGTGTCTAGTGAACAAACCCCACAAGGAGGAATCCCGACACTGAACACGTATGTAAATCTCCATAGTCTGGCAGCTATACAATATGAAAAAGCTTGATAGAAGGTAATATTTCAGAAATTGAAACCTTACCCACACTCTACAACTCATTCCTTATTTTGCCATGATGATTTTATTCTGCTAGTAAGTTTAGAATTTCCTAAATACACGGTCAGGAATTGTCTCCATGGAAGATTATTCATCCGGTGATGATGGCTATAAAGATTGTTTTAAAATGTATTGTCACATTAGTGTAGCAGCTGTTGTAATGTGTTGATCTCAGTTTATATGGAAAGTATATTGGAATTTTGTGTATGTGTTCGTCACGATGCCATGGTGTGTGTATACAATTGAATTATTATGTGCAATTCTAAAGGGTTATTATGTCACGAATTAAAATCCTTCAAATACTAATATTGCTATACATTTGTCTCATCCCCTGGCCATTCACTATAGAATATATACAATATTAACGTGAAGGAAATGAGTCATTTTTCTTCGACGACAGCGATGACTGAAACATTCTTTGTTTAACGGCTTTGACTAAATGTATAATATACTACCAGTAACCACATACATAATATAACTGCACAATATTATGTAAATAGCTACAAGGTGCAACTAATTGATATATTTAAACAAATAATATTATCCTGCGATGCACTACGAATTGACCATGCAGAATATATAGGAAATTCCCAAGGAAAATGTATTTATCTTTGGAAATTCAATGGTTGAAATGGTTATTTTTCATGTGAAATATTAAGGAATAACAACATACAAAAAATATACATGACAAATAAATTATTTTCATCATATAGTAAACAATGCGAAACAATGGTAACTCACAAAAATAGTGTCCTGGTGTATATTCCCGCATAGCAATGAAACTGATCCATATTATTGGAGATTTCTAGAAAGATCCATTAGTAACATTAGTAACTAGTGACGTCACTACTGCATCCTGCCAGGTCGTTGTATGATTTCATGGTAGCCATATAAGAACAATGTATTAGTTCGATATGCACACATGGCACAGATTAATTTAACAGACTAGAAATGAACAGATAGAACCACAAACAATATTTGTTAAGATATTCAATTTGTCAAAATTTATTTCAATTTTTACAAAGATTCCCATAAGTCAGCCTTCGGCCACGCTAAAAGCATGTACGTTTCTCACAGTTGCATTTCATGATATAAATTTACAAAACTAGTTTAGTTTATGATCAAATTATGCAATTATTAAAAAAGAGCCTGACATTTGACAAGAGTTTGGTGCGGTAACCAATGGATCTCCAATATTTGAAAATATATTTCAAAATAACCAACACACTAATGAATCTCATCTGTGTATGGTTAGTGATCCGGTTGATGATATATCTAGCATTCAAAGTAGCTAGAAGCAATTTATTCCCAAAGTATTATATTTTTAAGGCGAATACAGAAAAAAATGAACCTACTCAACAATTTCAAAATATCTGTGAGTCTGGCAAAATGTGCCATGTATCATGCATTATGTCACAATTTGTATTAATATTATATGTGTACAAATATTACCAATATTATTCATCTGTATTTACTTATCTGTACAGCTGTTAAGTATGTCTCTCAGATGTGTGTAAATTATTTTATTCCAATACGCTGTAAGGGTTCGGTTAATGATAATGAATAAAATAATATAATAGTAAATGTGAGTGCAAAGTCATGTGTGAACTTCTACTGAGTCTTACAGCATAAACAAGATCCACCGTACTCACTCACTCACTCACTCACTCACTCACTCACTCACTCACTCACTCACTCACTCACTCACTCACTCATTCACTCACAAGATGCTTGCATAATCGCTGTGCTGTTTTACGAACTATCGCAGTGCCATGTATTTGCCGATAGTAATTTGAGTATGACAACACCAAGCCTAATCACTAAAGATGGAGATGTGGCTTCTCTCAGTGGACTATACTGAACGCAAATCAAAACAACATTTTAAAGTTTTCCTCTGGTGAATTGATAGTTGTTGCGCCACGCATGCGCGAGATATATGGGTCTCATATCAACAAAGATGGCTACTTTGACTGTTGCACAGATCAACTATTAAAAACTGAGACGTTACCTAGCCTTAATTAGGTATTTTTTCAGGTGATTGGAAGGTATCGAAGGAGTCAACGGCGGTAATTAGTTCAAGTCGTGCCCAGGTCAAACCTCATACTTGTGATTTCCATTAGAAGAGCGCATTGGATTTTGGGAAAAACAATGTTTATCAACACAAATGTCGCACATGCGCAGCACGACGACCACCCTCTTCAAATGGCAAAAAAATATTACCACACTCGAGAAAGTAAAACAATAAATATGAATAGAACGGCGTGGGTAGGTAGCTTTATTTGCTCCGTCACTATTTCCGAATGAAACGTGCCTTTTGTTTTTATGCATCACTTCTCTGTTTTCATTGTATCACTTCAGCACATCCTTTGTAATGACTATGTAAGGTTCCTGCTGTAGTGACTTGCTTTTTGTTGTTTCTCTGCAAGTTGTCTCTGCCAATGTGTACCGATCCTGCATAGTGTTATATTCAAATAGTCAGGTAAACGCGAGATCAACTCATCGTGTTCATGAAAGCAATATCGCATTATTAAGTCTGGACGTAAAGACAAATACTTCTACGATAAATACAATATTACGAGTAGAGCAACTAATTTAAAATTTGCTTCCTCTATTATAAAATGTACTTAATTAACCCCAACAATCCCCTTAAATTGGAATGTCGCATTTGAAGCCAATTTTTGCGATTCCTCATATAATGAATGTCTCTAACATTGATTTCGCTTAGATTGTTTATTGTCAATATTTTGGGAGTTGAAATTCAAGTTATCATGATCAGTGTTATAAATTCACAAACATAATGTGGTAGACACAATAATTAGTTATTTTTAATTATTATTAGGGATAAGGAATCATTCTCCCAATCTTAATGTAATCATACCCCTACATGTGCGCTAACGTATGTCTTTATTACATAACCCGAGTATCCGTCGGTGTGTCGAATGAGATGTCGGAGAGGTATTAAAGATGTTTGAAGAAAAAAAACACATTATAACATGATCACAATGTACATTTCATTTCCCAAGGGTACATTTCATTTGTTATGTTGCGCCCATTACCCGTCGCTTAATGTAATTGTCTGACAACGTATCGTTCAGACAATTGTGTAATTAAGTAAGGTAATATTACAATGTACAGGAAAAATAGTTCTGTATACATAATAGCTGCGAAGAACAACAATAGTATAGTAACGACGATACTATTTTGAAAGACAACAGTAGACTGCTATGTCATTTGTCCTTCGGCGTGTTGTTCACGTATTAATGTAATGCGTACAGTATCGGTAGCGTGATATCTAAAAATCTTTTTTATCTTTCACTATAAATAGTGCATATAGTGACAAAGATATTCCATTACGTAAACGGGTGACACGAAAGCCACTCAAAGCATTTTAATTCTGTCATCCATCAGTGAAAATTATATTTTTTGGAGGAATGTTACTATTTACTAAAAGACTACACTGCTCAAAACAGTTGTCGATTTGAACAAATTGCTTTCACTAATACATGTACGTCATTTCGACGTCACAGAAGCGCCCATCACTAGAGGGCGCGACTTAAACAATGATGTCGTGTTTCAGGGTGCAATAACTTACACAAAAGAAGTAGCATCATTGTAGAGTCACGACAGTTCTCCGTCGCTTCAATTGAGGCAATACACAGACATTTAAGTCATATTCCGTGGCATATCCGCGAGTATAATAAACACATGGTTTGGATCCGGTGATTGTCGAGGATTGTCGGGTGATGATACACTCGACATTTCTGGTGCAGGACAACGACATCGGCAACAGCACCATCTGAAGACAGCTTTCGCCTCATTTCGCGTGTACTCATTCGTCCAACCGTAGAGTATCGGATTCAAACTTGCCGAACTCATTGCTGTCATATGACAAACGGCATACGATATGGTGAAGTATCTGTTGTTCACTGTGTGGAAATATATATCGCAGAGAATATTGAAAATATTGATCGGTAGCCAGCACACAGCAAACAGTACTATAATTAACAAAAGTATGAAATTCACCTTCCTGTTACGTTTCTCTTCCTTTAACACACGTTCTACTTGGAGGGATTCCGAAGATGTGTTCGGAGTTACTCGGTTTCTTATCTTCACCGAAATCCTCGCGTACAAAATACACATGATAATGACGGGAATAACGAACTGTATGAAAAACATAGCAATAGTGTAAGCAGTACGACTGTACTCGTATGGCCAATTCTCCGAGCAAATGCTAACCACGTGGTCTATCTGTGATATTTCGACCGTTATTGTGGTGTTATTCACCCCCATAGGAATGGAGAGCAGAATCGCCATTGTCCAGATAACTGATATGGAAACTGTACATCTGAAAGTGCTCGTGAATTCTCCCAAGGGTCTGAACACGAAATTGTGGCGGTCGACTGCTACCGATGTTAGCGAGAACGTAGACGTGAACACCGAGACAGATTGTAGAAGCGGAAGAATGTGGCACATCGCGTCACCGAACACCCATGAATCGAGGACCACATAGACAAGAGTAAACGGCGCACATAACACAATAAGCAGCATGTCTGCAACCGCCAGATTAAGAAAAATGTAATTCTTCTTGACAAGTGAACTGTACTTGCAGATGAGTACAAAACAGACAAACAAGTTCGTTAGCAAACCACATATGATGATTACACTATAGGAAACTATCAGAGCGACACGTACATTTGTTCGCCGTTCAATTTTGATATCTTCCAAGTTAAACTCTGTCGTGAGTATTGGGAAGCTAGTTGAATTGGTGAACTCCATTATGGCTGTCTTTCATTGCACAATTGCGGATTTGATACTGCTTCGCGAGATCGGACCCTTACTGTGAACTATAGATCCATATCGACAATTAAGAGTTTCCACGTCTGGGTCGGTTTTTCAAAGTCAAATGCAACGTCTTCGCCAGTCATATCAACTGTAAGAGGAAAAAACGAGGACAATATGGTGTCAGATGCTAATTGCATTCGATCGCTTGTTCTCACACAACAATCACCAGTTTAATCACCATGACGTGTTAGAATATCACATGAAATACTATTTAATTTCAAAGGGACATGTATAATTCAATTGCGCGCATGTCATTTACATGACACCATGCGAATCACGCTGTCATAGTCGTAATTGTACTGAATAATGGCCAATTTCGAACTCCTCGTCGCATGGTTATAATTGTTATTTTATTGTCCTACCATTTTCGTGAAGCTAAATCACGTTTTGTCAGAGATTTCAAAATGTCGAAGCAGTTAATTTCCGACGGAAATCAGACTTGCTAATAATTCATACTGCTGTTGAATAAATTATTATAAATGTTGCGGATTAAAGAAGCTATATGAATAATTTCGCAATGCGCATGTATTTTGAATTAATGGTACGTATTAATAATCAAAACGTTTGTGCAGTTGCAATGATAGACATTAGTGTGCACTACTAAAACCACCGTTTTTACTTGATCGTAATAATTTATAATGAATGCACATTATAAAATTAAAATATGCAAGGTTGCTATGGATACGAGTAGATACCAAGGACGAGAAGTAATACGAGGAACGCCAGAATGGCACAATATAGAAAGCAAAAAAAATTCTCTTGGAGTAATAGCAAAACATTATTTAAAAATAATCAACATAATTGTCATTTTTATTTATTGATTCATCTCTACAATGTGTTATGAACACACGTATGAACGGAACACCGAGGAAATATTTTTTTTTTATTTCTCATTTCAGTCCACACAGCGGGCATTCGATTAATATAACCCACAATCCAAGCGACCAACAACGCTCATCTACAAAACAAGTATAGGATGGCGATATCAAGAATTATACCCACCACCTACCGGATCCGGTTCATGATCAATATCGTCATACATCATGCGATTCCAATAACTCTATTGAGGCGAGAAGCCCTATCGCTTTCTTTCTTTAGGCAAGCCGCGCAGGTTCCTATAATTCGATAGAGCGTGTACACCGCTCACTGTCGCTGTATTTCACATTTTGTTTAGACAGTTACACTGACATTTCAAATCAAATTGCATATAACTATACTGATCATCATGTTATGTTGTTGTCTCCAACGTAGCTGGGACAGTAACGTGACATACCACACATGTTTCAACGACACGCCAACGTACCGATGAGCCATTGCGATAACTAACACTGTTGTCTACAATACGACCTTTCACGATCTATAATCTCAAACTACCCATACAAATGGGCGAGGGGGAGGCGGGGGTGTGAATGCAAAATATAAATGAATATCTATACAATAAATCAATAATGATATCAAACCCATAGCCCATAGCATTTTACTATGCGACTGGTGTAAAAAAAATACGGCACCGTATTACTGTAAAACCCTTTATTTTCACTGGTAGTTAATTTCACTGTTTTGATGCTTTGTGAAATGTAAGTTCACCGACCTAGCAGAAAAAACGACAAGTTCTATTGTTATGTGTTATTGTTATTATGTTCATGTGGATTTCATTTAGCGAATTTTACTTATTGGCGAAAATACAAAAAACAACAAAACCAAAACAGCGAATAATTAATGTGCTTACAAAAATATATCTGAAACAATAACTACGTTTGTCTAATATGACTTATATTTCTGTATCAGTATAGGTAAGAATTCAATCTATTTTACATTACACGAACGCTCATAAAATAAAGAATCTGAACGTGGAGTGTGGATAGCGGAATCTAATTTTAATACCCCATATATATCCATATGTACATGGATTAATTTAACGCGTTGCATTACGTTCAAAACAAATCATCTTACACAGAATTTCAAAATGTTCAACATACAACGTTATCAGCATGCAACATTTTGTTTTATTTGCGCGATTTACTGAAACATTAATTGGAAGCCTATAAAATGTACTGTCGTTGTAATAATCTATCAATATTGAATCCGTCGTCAAAACCAATGACGTGTGTTTATTAATTCCAGGCGATGATTAGTGCGACTTTTAACATTTCGAGTAATGATCACTAGCCGTATTTATTATAAACAACGATTATATTGTCTATGACTTTCTTTGAGTCAGTATGTGTTATGTCGAGACATTACTATATTTTGGCTCATTTAATTACAAATAAAAACGATCACTATCTAATTGTCAAACTGCAACGATTTCCTTTGTTCAGAATGTACATATATAAACCTCACAATATTCTATTCAAAATCACAAATAAAAACATGTAATAGTGCATACACTTATATACAGGTGGAACGGATTTAGTCTTACCTCACATACCATAGAAGCATCAGTTAGATACGTACACAGCAGACTGGCGTCAGCGATACTTGCTA